GCAGTAATCAATTCTTTGGCTAATTATTGCCTAAGAGCAATTTAGATTGTTTTAAATTTATGTGGCTTACACTTTTTTTGTCTTCGAGATCAGAAAATCTCCACAAATGGTAACATTATTATCGCTATCTAAGTGCTTTAGTTTCTGTGAACCGTTTAATACTATCTATTAGTGCCACGACGACTTCATCAGCTTGTTAATTTCTTTGAATTCCTGCATGACCAGAAAATAGCCACAATTTCTGATTTGTTGTCGCTATCTAAGTGCTTTAGTTACTGTGAACCGTTCTATACTATATATTAATGCCATCATAAGTTCATGGGCTTCTTAATATCCTTGGATCCTTGCACAACCATGAAGCGAATTCTGATTTTTTATCCCTGCCTAATTGAGTCGATTTCTGTACACAGTCGTATTACTATTACAATGACGATTTCACAGTCTTGTTCATATATCTGGAATTATGTGTGCCCAGGAAGATAGCAGAGGCTAACTTTGTCGACTATTAATTTATACAAACTTAATGTTCTAATAAAAATTGAACTGCTTGTTAATGAGGGAATGTCATATCTTTTGTAACTTCTGTATGGTTCAGACTGCGTATACATATCGATGGGTTAGTTTATTGTTTGGAATATTTACTTTGCTCGGTATATTTGGCTTTTGATTCAAAATTCTACTCTATAAAATTGTTTTGTATATCATTACTTGATGTTTTATATATGATAAGTTGTCTATTCTATTCATTTTGTCATAGTGTTTTATTGCGAATGTACCTGACTGAACCTCTTGATTACTCTTTGATTGGATTTATGTTAATGCTTGAACTCCTATATATAGCATTCTTACTAAATGACAGAAAATGCTATTTCCTATTAAATCTAATATTATTGATTTTTATTCATTGATATCGTTTCTAAATAATATTTAAAAAAATAAAAATTTGGCAGGACCCGAGTTCGATTCGTGGTACTAGCAGTCTGAAAAATAATTATTTACGAATAATTAAATACAAGAATTATTTCCAAGACCACTGATGATGGGTATTTGGCAATACTCGAAACAGCTGTGTGGTCAGCCAAAAATTCAATTAATTAAAATAATATAAAAAATAAAATGTTTGTTGTTGTATTTCACTACTGTTCGAAAAAACCTCTTTAAAAAAATAAAAAGTTATTGTAGAAATACTGTTTGAATATAAGAGATATTTCCTGCATTACTTATAAGGTAGGATGTGTGCATAGATTTCAATAGTAATAATAATAATAATTAATTTCTGCTTCTTTTTTATATTATAAATAATAAAAATAATAAATAATAAATAATAATAATAATAATTAATTTCAACTTCTTTTTTATATTATAAAATTATAAAACTTTTAATTCTGAATTAATTTCAACGTCAAAGTAATAAAAGTGTTTCTATTTCGTATTAGAAATTTATTAAAATTCAAATATTTTTTTAAAATATTAAATATTAAATGTTAAACAAATTTATATTTTAGTCTTTAATAAGTGTCAAATATAACAATATATGTTTGTTCTTATTTTCAAATCATGACCTTGCAGGTTCTTTGTTTTTTGCATTTTAACTGCATTGGATTTAATATTTATGTTTTAAAAATAACAATTTAATTTTAATGTAAATAAATTATTTTTTTATTTGACCGCATTAAATCTATTATAAAAGTTACTAAAATAAAATGTTTATTATAATTAATATAAGAGCGGATGTGAGTCATTTCCTTAGTTGGTATTTTCATAGTCTTAATTCAAATTATTCCGTGTCATTCAATTGTTTTGTGCTAAAGAATCTGACAAAAGTAATCTTTAGAAAATATGTGGTTTGCACTGTTAGGTGGCTTTACACCATATGTTTAGTACGCTCTATGGATTACACTGATAACAGCTATTGCAAAAATGACATTCATATGAGTTGGCTTATCTGGAACGTGACGTCTATTGCAGGCGTTCAAGTTTACTTTGCCCACAAGTTTGCTTATTTTAAGATTGTTTATTTTCAACTGTCTTTTTTTTATTTTTTGTAGTGACGCGAGAGATTCTAACTAATAGAACTGATAAGCAGCAGTAAATCTTTTTTTTAGTCTCAGATACAAATACCAAAATACTGTTAACACATAGGTGAGCAAATAAGTGCAACTAGACGTATACGTAACATGAATGACAGGTAAGAAAATATGTGAGTTGAGAGAAGAAATATGAAAGAATATTTATCGCCAAAAAAGTTGAACAAACATTTTCTTTATATGCTGGTTTTATGTTTTAGTTAGTAACATTTTATTATGAAAGTCGAGAATTTAACTTTTAATATGTGGATTATATGATTTTTAGTTATAAATTAAAATTAATTCACTATTTTTAGAAATACTTTAAACATTAGATAAAAAACATAGCATAATTAAGTTTAAGGCTGATCTTGTTTTTAAAGCAAAAAAAATTGTAGAAAAAGATTGAATAAAAGTGTTAATATATCAGATGAAGTAAACTTATTTTGCATTAAGTAAAATTTTGCTTAATTTGGATTCCTTTTTAAAAGAAAAAATTTGTGAACCTCACGTGAATGACTATATAATAGTTTAAATATAAAACATTTAAAGATCTCATCTACAAAAATCATCTCTTCACATTTTGTATACAATTTTATTAGTATAACAGTTACCACATATTCGAGAATTTCATGATGGACTGGCAGAGAGAAGTAATTTTTTTATTTCAAACGTTTTCCTATAAAGTTGCTTTCTCAAATTTCTGGTACTCCGCGCTTTCAGGGTTAGATAACTGACTGTCTTGGTCTGTCATCACCTAAAGCAAAAAAAAAAGAAATTATGGGTATATGTAAAATAGTATTACCTCAAAACAATAATTTATGTATATATTATAGCTGTTATAACTATATTTTATACTATTGACGTCCAATAAAAGCTTTAGTTTAAAAATTATATTGATGAAATAATAAAGAGACAGAAAAGACTGACTTTTAAATGGTATGAACTTATAAACTCTACTCGTTTGAGAAGTCGCATTATAAGATTAATCCCAAATGAAAAAGATATATATGTTTTACTAACAAATACTAATACTAATTTAATCTCTTTAATACTGCACTGATCTCTGCTTCAGATAAATGTTGGTTAGGATATTCCTATTACTAGCCTATATTGTTTAAATTAATTAACTACTTTAAAGTCGGTTTTGTTTTTTAGAATTTTAACCTATGTTTCGTAAGTTGTATTTTGTATATCTTTGTACGTGTTTCGACAAATTCATCAGGAGAATTTCTAATAAAATTAATTTTCTACTTTTTTTTTTAAAACATCTCTATAGTTTTAATATCAAAGTGAAATAAATTGAATTAGTTATGTTGCAAATCTGCTCCATTTAAGACAAATTGAAACTGTTATAATTTATTAGAAGATTACACTTTTTTTCAAGATTTGTACTTAATAATATTACAATCAAGCACAAATCTTAGTATCATGCTTTCGTTATTTTTCAAGGTAGAATATAAACTTGACAATTCTGCTAGACTAGATTCTACTTGCCATTTCTGGTTAAGCTTAATTAGTTTATTTTGAATAGTACCTCTCTAGTTGTTAATTGCCTAGATGTATTCCATATCGATTGAGAAGGAACTTGATAATATTCTGTCAAACGTTTTATCTATTAAAAAAGCTCTTGTCCTTTCCTACAATGATCCTAACAGCCTGCAATGATATATCAATTGTCAAAGAGTTTTATCACTTCTAACTATTGCTGATAGATATATTGAATGTTTGATAAAGACTGAATTAAAATGGTAACTGCACAGATGGACGATGTTGTTAAAATTAATTATTTGTTGTTATTTATAAAAAACTTAGATTTAATATATAAATAAACAGAAGTAGGAATATATTTTGTGTTAATGGATATAAATAATAGTAGTAATTAATAAAAATTGTTAGTGCTAGGTAGTATAAATTAACACTTGAACTTGTATCAATCAGTATTATACTATTTACTGTCTAAATATTTATCAAAAATATGTTGATATCATTTCAAAAATAAATTAATTAATTAAATTAATTATATGCACAATTGAATTTATATTTATTTTAACTGTTGACATTTTCTTTTCATATGTTTTTCCATTTAAATTCAATTTATTATTAATTTTATAAAGAATTAACATTATACAATATTAAAATAATTTATTCATTTATATAATATGTCATTTTACATTTTAAAACAATATTTAAACAGACCACAAGTATTCAATAATGATATTTGCTTCCAAAGGCAAAATTGTATTTTATAAATAAGACATGAGTAACTAAACAATATAAATTAATTTTCTGATTTTTTGAAATTCAAATAAATTTTCGTTTTCACTCAAATAACTTCAAATATTTATATATTAAAATATTTTGACCTCAATGTCTGTTTAATTTATCAAAAATCAATTTAGATTTTTTAAGAAAATTTGAATTTGACTGATACATGATATTATAACAAATATTTTATGCAAATACATTTAATCTTTATTTATAAGAAGTAAATAGTAGTGCTGAAATTATTATTTGTTTCCTCTTCCAAATTCAAAATTCAAAAATAATAAACATTTAAATAAAATTATATGAAAATATTCTACTCAATTATATTAAAATGATTATTGAATTTATATATCGTTTAAGAAATATAAAGTATTTTTTAAAATATTTAGAACACATTACTGCTATTAAGTTGCACTATAGTTGATAAAATTTTTTCTCTTATGTTATCGTTTTAGTGCAGTCAGTATCAACTTTTT